GTCCAATTTGGGTAGGTATTTCCTCAAGAAAAATTCTTTTAAAAACATAATTAATGGTAGGATCAAAAGGATAGGCAGAAACAGAATTTCCCTATCATTCTCTGACCACAAATGTGCAAACGAATTTATTAATAACCCTTGCCTGGCAAGAAATAATTACAAAGATTTTATTCCCTCATTTAATGTGACCCGAATGGGCCTGGTGCGAGGCGTTCCCGCGGAATGGTCACCCGAAGAGATATTAGACAACATCTCTCTGCCTGTAGGCAGCGGAGGAATTATAAAAATTAGACGACTAAATTATAAAGTACGTAACAGCAGACCTCCTGAGTGGAAGCCATCACAGACTATTGTAATAACTTTCGATGGTCAAACCCTACCTAAACATGTATTTCTCTGCTACAATGCCCTGCCCATGGAACTTTATGCATATCCCACTATTCAGTGCTATTCTTGATGCCGATTTGGTCATACTAAGTCTAATTGTAACTCTCGGCCCCGCTGTTACAAGTGTGGCCAAGGCCATACTGGGGACACATGCAACATACAGAATGATGCCGCGTCTTGCTGTCTATGTTCTGGTCTACACTTTGCTACAAACAGAAAGTGTCCGGAATATGAACGGCAGACTAAAATTAAATTGTATATGGCTCAGAGATGTGTATCTTACGCTGAAGCAAATAAAGTGTATGATCCAGTTTCAAAATCTTTTGCTGATATAGTTAAGTTTTCAAACATCCAGAATTCTCCTAACTCTCCTGTCCCACATGTATCGCCTTCCTCTCCCTCGATTCCGTCGTATAGTAGATCTTATAAGTAAACAATATTTGCTAAACCAACATCCCCCAAACTAAAACGACTGGGGTATAACAAAACAGAACACTTCAATTTGATAAAGGACTACGACGCTCCAGCTCCGTCTAACGGGGTCGCTTTAATAAACAGTAACGTTAACAATAATGACATAATCTCTGATTTAATCCAACTTTTGACTGAAATTAAATCCAATTCTAACTCTGACAACAACGTAACCGAACAACGCCGCCAAACGATTGCTTCCTTAACTCAATTAAAATCCTCTTATGCGTCACGAACGCGAACAAATAATTCAGTGGAATTGCAGAAGCGCTATCTGCAATAAAAATGATTTAATCCATTTGCATAATAAATGTGAACCATTTGTCTCAACTCTGTCGGAAACATGGCTTCGCCCGGAATTGACTTTTCGAATTCCAGGTTATGTTATTCTCGCCATAGTCATTAAAAATAATCTCCCCTATTCCTTATTTCCACTACCCTCATTCGGAGATGACTTATAGTGTCTATTTATTTTTCTCGTCCTAATGTAAATATTTTTTCTCATCTTAATCAACTGTTCTCCATCCTTCCAAGGCCATTCTTAGTCCTAGGTGATTTTAATTGCCAACATCAATCCTGGGGAAGCACTTCTTCCAACTATTATGGAGATCAATTATTAGATATTATAGATTCTCATTGTATCTGTATTTTAAACACTGGGCTGCCAACCCGTGTTACTGGTCCAAGTGAAGGTGCAAGTGCGCCTGATCTATCTTTATGTTCACCTGATTTAGCTTCAACTTTGGACTGGCACCCTCTTGCATCTTCGTATGGTAGTGACCACTTTCCACTTGTAATTACTTTTCCTTCACACAAACCTACCAAAACCACTCGCTCTCCTCGTTTAAAATACAGATTAAACAACGCTGATTGGGAATTATTCAACCAACGAGTAGACCAGAATACTAGTACTTATTCTCAAGAAGGTGATCAGATCTCTGCCGAAATTCTTTCTCAGGTTTTGAAGCTGCCGATGAATCTTTTTGCACTAAAACTAAGTTCCGATCCCAAATTCCTTCGCCTCCCTGGTGGGATCATGAATGTACAGCTGCAATAAAAACAAGAAAACAGGCTGAAAAAAATTACTGTGAGATGTCAGAAGAAAATTTCGAGTTATATTTAGAATCTGCCCGTAGTGCTAAAAAATTGTTTAAGAAAAAGAGATATGATGGTTGGCAATCATTTTGTGCCTCCATTAGCCCAGACGTCAGCCCGTCAGAGGTCTGGCGTAATATTCGTATATCGGAGAATTATTATATGCAGATCTAAATATCTGCATATAATAATTCTCCCTCTTCTAAATTACCGCTAACCCTAGCTGATCAGTTCATGGATCATCTTGCACCCCCTTCTGTACCGGAACAGGGATTTCCTCCATTACTCCTGTTTACATTTTCGATGACCAAATTGGATTAAACGCTCCTTTCTCTTTGATCGAACTTAAAGGAGTATTCAATAACGTAAAAGATTCTACTCCAGGAGAAGATGGGATTCCATATTCTTTTTTGAAAAACCTTTCGGACCGTGTGCTGATGCTGTACTTAAATATTATAAATTCTATTATGATTTCTGGGTGCATTCCCAAGTCTTGGATCACTCAATCTATTATCCCTATTTTAAAAGACAATAAACCAGCCGATGATCCTTCTTCTTACAGACCTATTCTACCTTTACCTTTATACCTTTCTTCTGTTTTAATGAAAACAGCAGAACACCTAGTTAAAATCCGTTTAGAATGTTTTTTAGAGAGTAAAAATCTATTAGCAACGTCACAATTCGGTTTTAGGAAAAGTAGAAGCACTTTGGATAGCTTAGGCATATTCACTACGGACATAAGATTAGCTTTTTCAAACAACGAGTCGATAGTAGCTACTTTCTTAGATATAAGCTCAGCTTATGACAATGTTCTTATATCGGTTCTTAGGGGAAAATTGCTTTGCTTAGATGTACCACCGATTCTGTCAAACTTTATTATCAATATGCTCAGTGAAAGATACATTAATTTATTTATCGAATACCACAGGGTTCTGTGCTCAGTCCTTTGCTCTATAAGATCTACACATATGATTTAGAAACATCATTGCAGGCATCAGCAAACGTATTACAATATGCAGACGATCTTCTTATATACAAATCGGGAAAATCGATTGAAAATAATTGCCAAGCTCTAACATCTTCCCTTTCATTTTTAAAATCATGGCTTAATTCGAATGGTTTAGACTTATCTGTATCCAAGAGTAGGGTTGTGTTGTTTTCCAGAATGCGTAGGCCTCCCCCGGTCCATGTAAAGTTCAATAGTGTTTTGATTCCCTCGACTAATGACGTCAAATTCTTAGGAGTAGTTCTAGATTCCAAGCTTACCGGTGTACCCCATTGTGAATATGTAACTGCAAGATGTGAACGTAATTTGAATATTCTTAGATGCTTATCGGGCATCTGGTGGGGAGCGCATTCACACTCCTTAAAACTGATTTACAACGCCATAATCAGAAGTGTAATGGATTACGGTACTTTCCTGTTGGAACCAGGAAATATATCTGGTTTTAAAAAATGGATAGTATTCAGGCTAAAGGCTATCAATGAGAAAAGTCCTAGGAGCTATGAAGTCAAGTCCAATCAACTGTATGAGAGTCGAGTGTGTAGAGCCTACATTAAGCTTACGACGGCAATTTCTGTCTGATAAATTCCTATTCCGTTGTATCCAATTCAGTAACCATATCCTAACACCTAAACTGACTTGCCTGGCATCTTTAATCCCCAATTGTAGTTATTGGAAAAACAAACGCCCACCATGTTTGGTTGAAAGTTACAGAAGATTTACTTATTTTGAGGCTCCTACTCACCAAGCGACTTCTAATCCATTGTTCAAATACAGTTATGATTCCCTTGTAATCTCTCCTGATATACATACTAGCACAGGTCTTGTGAAAATTGAGCAAAACCAAAAGTTAACATTTAACTATATTGTTGACACCAAGTGGCCACAATGGCATCGAATATTTACAGATGCATCTAAGCATTCCAAAGATGGCTGTGTAGGTGTTGGTGTACTGCACTCTAATTACAATATTGTTCAAAAAACTAAACTCCCTCCTGAATCCTCCGTGTTCACTGGCGAATGTATTGGCCTTGTTAAAGCCATAGAATACATCCTTCTACTAAAACTTCAAAAAACTGTAATTTTTACAGATTCACTGAGTTCTTTTAATGCCTTAGCCCGGTTCCATTTGGATCACATTATCAATTCCCTGTCATTTCCGAAATTAGAAACCTGTTATTAAAATGTATAAAAGTAAACTATTCCGTATCGTTTGCATGGGTTCCTGGTCACTGTGGAATATCTGGAAACGAGAAAGCCGATCGTTTAGCTAATGAGGCGGTGGAGAGTGGAGATGTAGACATTTTTAGAAACTATGCGCATGACTTTATGTCTCTTTCAGGGATTTATCTCAGGAATTCCTGGACTGAATCCTGGGCTCAAGATAGTTCAAAAGGTCGCCATTATCGTACTATTCAACCTTCTATACCCAGTAAGCCCTGGTTTTGGAGACTGAGATTCGGTAAAAAAGTTACAACAGTACTGTCTCGTATGCGGCTGGGACACGTCTGCACCCCAGCTCATCTTACTAAGTTAAATATTAATGACAGCCCGATATGATGTAGGTGATTTAAATCACATCATATTTGTTTGTCCTCGACGCGACCGGTTGGCTCTTCTCGAAGGTCTCATTTCCCTTCCAATTCCTTTCCCTTCATCCATATCATGTTTACTTTCAACATTGGACCCACATGTATATAAACTTTTAGCAGCTTTTATCTTAAGTAATAATATAAAAATTTAGACAATATGAACGTAAATATATGTAAATATGTTTTCTTATACTCCTTTTTTATGTAGTCCTTATTTATAAGAATTGATCTTTTATTTTATAGATTAATTATTTTCTATTCCGTAATTCCTTTCCAGCCGATAATTTTATGTTTTTACCCGTTTCCCTGTTTTTGACCCTGGGCCACAATGCACAAACCGTGCGGGCCAATATTAAAAAAAAAAAAAACTATACGTATGCGTTTATAATAATTATAAAATAATATAGAATTACAGAATCCCTGTAAATACTTAAATATAGTAGTGTTTTGAAATGACTTCAAGTTATGTAAAGTATGCACAATTAATAAAAGGAACAAGCAGCTATGCTCGCCGAATGAAAACGTTATCCGATAGAATATTTGGAGAAGTCGCAACACCGACAAATCCAAGCTCCATGAAGGTTGTTAAAATATTTTCTTCTCGACCTCTTCATACTAATGAAGAAATAGTACATTATTACCCTCGTCATATAGAAACACATGCCCTAATGTTGAAGCTGCGAGAGTATGGTTTGTTCAGAGATGAACATCAGGACTTTGTAGAAGAAATGAAACGCCTGAGGGCTCTCCGAGGGAAGGTAAAAGTATGGAAACGCCACATGAACACGGAGAAGGAGTAGTTGGAAATAAAGACATGAATATTTTTCTGGCATATTGTGAAAATTTATAATATTGATGATTTATATAATATAGAATTTTTAGCTGTTAGAACTGAGTTTTGAAAATCAATCTTAATATCAAAATTTACCAAATCCCAGCTCATTATCAGACTAGAGCACTTTCTTTCTGTGTGTTGCATGTCATACATTTTACTCATATAAACCAAAAATTACTACAAAATTATTTTATAATAAGTAACTTGCATATTGATCCTACGCACACATGCTGCTATCTAGACAACATTCATCAACATATTATGAAATCATTAATTGGATTGTTCAATAAAATACATAATTTATTTGGTTCAATAAGTGGAATATGTATTTTTAATTAATTGTATTATTGTTATTTTCTATTAGTTTGTGTTGTTTTAGTAAATGACTGGAGTTTTGCTTTCAATACTTATTACATTATTTATCATTACCAAAACACATAAATATTGACACCAATTACTTAGCATAAACATACTACACAATTTGTGAAATCAATTAGATACATATTTTATTCAGCACTCTTGTAATGTCTTCAATCTTTTCATCGGCAAAAATGCCACCAATAAAGTAATACACACTACACAGTGAAGCTGACTCTCAAATATCTAGATACTCTTAATCCAATGAATTATGTATGATTGTTCTCATTTCACTTGAACATTGACCAACAGCAGACACTGCTTATGTGAAAATAGATATGAAAAAAAGAATAGCAATATCAGGTGCTGACTGGGCTGTAAGATTGTAAATTTTTATGCAAGAAGGAAGGAATAATAAAACTTTCTTATTTTTTATAAAACTCCAAAAACATTTAGCATAATAATGCTAATAGGAATACTTGCCTCAATCATCTTAAAGTTTGTGACGTTTTCTAATAAGGTGATACTGTATTTCGTCTCACGGATCCTTGTATATTCGATACCTCTTACAGATTTTTTCGTTTTCAGTAAGTAATTTTATTAAGGAGGTACTGAATCACACTGAATATTTAGATTTCATATTGGACGTTTTAGGAACAAATTTATTTATAGTAGTTTTAAGAATTTTGTAGAACTCAGATACCATATCATAAACATTATCATAAGTGCTATCTAAGGGCTATCATTCCAATCAATGGTTTTCAGATCTTTTATAATAGACACAGCACATAGTCAGCTTTATAAAAGTTTAGTTTAGTGCAGAGTTCCCCAAACTTTTTTGTGTCGTAGACCCCTTGCCATGTTTTTCCGTGTTGGGTAGAGGCCCTACTTACCTGATATTGATTTCCTGTAAATTTCTAACTGTAGTGAAGTTTAGTGTTAAAAACTTAAAGTAAAAACACATGTTAATTCATACATTTATTAATTGAATTTAAATTAAAACTACTCAAAATAAAATTTTGTATCTGTTATGTAAAATATACGTATTATAGCATTAAATAAACAAAAAATATAAATAAAATAACATAAGCAATAAGTCAATATAATGTATATGTTTTGATATTATAAGATAGTATGATGTAAGTAAATAGGTACTAACAGTGTATGTGTTGAGATCCACTATCGTGGACCCCCATTTTCTTTTCATGGAGCCACAAATTTTTTTTCGCTTACGTAGACCCTTTGCATAGACCACTTTGGGAATCACTGGTTTAGTGTTACCTCTTGTTTGCAAATAGATATTTGAGAATTTTCAATATTTAACAATAAGCTAGGATTATTCGCGTATATTTTACTTAACGAGTCTGAGGGGGAACGATCTCTACGATAAACATGATATATACCTATTGTCAAATAATTCCATGTTAAAAACACCAGGTTTCGGTAAGGGCGACGATCTTATTTGAAGTTGACAAATTTTTGAGAAAGTTTGCCGTTCTAGTTCTCAACCCTTGAACGTTTTTACAAGTAGCGGCACGAAACTCTAGCGCTGACCGTTATTGCGCAGAAGTAAAAAATAAGGTACCTGAGGGGGGCTAGCGGAATGAAGAGTTTGAATGTACACTTATGAACGTCAAAAAAAATATGTAAGGTGAAGGTGGCAAAGTGCGCCTACCGGGCAAGTGCACCTACCACAAATATCTCGAAATCTACCGATTTGATACTAGTAGTGACACCTTATATCGATACTACAAAATAAATCATAGTTCTTGGTGAAACTCATATATAGCTCTAGTCATGTGAGTTTGAGACACGCGCCATTTTATTTTCACTGATATTCTAAGTGGTGAGGAGAGATGACTATGGCGTGATCATCGTCGTAAATCTCAAGAAATCGAGTTTTTACCGATATACGAGTGAGGTAAGTGCACAATTTAAATATTTTGCTTTTAGATTCTGACTTTATTTCACTCCTATCTAGTAAAATGTATATATTTCTTGCAAGTTAAATATTCAAACCTCAAATTTATATAGTTGGGGAAGCGCGCCATACTGACTTATTATATGGCGCACTTCGCCGCAATCCAGAGGTTACAAACTTTTTAAAATGTGTCTACAATAGACTAGTAAAAGTCACAATTATTAAATCATTAGCGCGCGCTATGAAAGAAAAACTGAAGGTCCTTCATGGTCCAGAGAGGCTTTGAATGAAGCAGTCGAAGCTGTTCGATCGGGTAGAATGTCTGGGTATGCAGCCGCATCAACCTTTGCTATCCCAAGAAAAACTATTATGGACCACGTCACAGGTCGAAGGGGCCAAAAATCATTAAGTCTAGGCAGACCACCAGTATTTAAATATGAGACAGAAAAAATTATGGCAAAATGTTTGCATATAATGGAAAAAAATGGCTTCGGCCTGACTCGTACAGAATTTCTAGATATTGTTAAGGGATATGTCAAACAGAACGATCTAAAAACACCTTTCAACGATGGTACTCCCGGCAAAGATTGGTTTTCAGGCTTCAAAAAGCGTTATAAGTTATCAATTAAAAAACCGCAGGCTGTAGAGGTTCCTCGTAAGAATGCCGCAGACCCATTTGTCATCCAAGAATTTTATGATATTATATTTTATGATATTTAGACAGAGTGATTGCCAACTTAGGGCTTCAGGACAAGCCTGAGATAATTTACAATTTGGGTGAAACCAGTTACTGCAGTGATCCATAAAAAACCAAAGTCATAGGTCTTAGGGGATTTCCATCGACTCGGACTACTTACATCATCCTCTGGAAAGTCGATCTCTTTCACTTTAGTTATTAAGTTGTAAGGGTAACAAGCCTTGCTTGATTAATGTTTTTGAATAATTACAACTAATATATTTTAGAAGATGTTTCTCATTGATTTTCTTTTCGTTACCTAGTTTTGTTAAGAATTTATAATAAATATTACACTTAATAACTAATTTCAATGACTAACTTCTTATTTCAGTCCCTTTATAATACTGATACCAAATAAGTAGTTCCAAACCATGGTATTCCCATCGTAAATAAAAGAAAAAATATACTTGACACTCGATTATCAATATTTAAGGGCATTTAGCCGAAATTTGGTTTTAAATACATAGATTATTCTAGAATGTGGCTATGAAAAAAAATGGCATGCGTTTTGTTGCTTGTTTTCTTAAAATAATATAGGGCTGTTTTTATTCTGATGCTTTATTATTACGTTTTATTAAAACAAGGCGCACTTCCCCGATTTGTCGGCAAAGTGCGCCGGGTCAGACTGTTTTCAAAATTTTTATGCTAAAATTCATTAATTTGCCGTCAGATTCTAATGACACGACATTAGTTGTTGTTGCAAAACATCACAGATCCTTATGGTACCATGATTTAGTGTCACTCGTGAACTTAAGCACAGGTAATATTGCACCAAAGTCAACTATGAAAAAAGTATGGCGCACTTTGCCCCCATCACCTTACATATTAATTGCTTCTAATTTTTCATTTACTGCCATTTAAGTATGTTAATAGGTACCTATGCCAAATCGGTTGAAAGTTAAATGTTCGTAAAAATTACCTATTAGTTTTGATTTTTCAGGCATTTAAGCTTATTATAAATATCGATCCCGTTTAAACAGTCGCGTGACCAGATGTGACGTCATTTTACAACGCATCGCAAGTCGCCAAGGAGCTTGCGCAGTATTTTGTTTTCATCCGTGCATTATGTTAATAGTGTTGATGTTTGATTAATGAAATGGATGAAGGATTCGAAAAAGGGCAATCGGATAATCTACCTATAATAGATGCACTAATGGTTGCCCATTATTTATCAAGAAAGAATAATGCAAAGGTAAGTAAACTTTTCTTGCTATTTAGAAAAAAATACCTAATTAATGTCATATTGCAACTGAAATAGGCAGAAGTACCGAATGGTGATGAAGCTATTGATTATGTATGAGTATAAGTAAAAAGAGTAAGCTATGTGTGTACGGGCAAATGTAAAATTGCGCATTACGTATCACTTTGGCGCCCATCTTCACGAAAACGAAGAAAAACGTGAACGTGAAAGACACGCTATTCCCGGATAGCTCGAAGGACCAAAATACGGTTCCTGGGACTTTAAATAATAGAGGATTTTACTTTTACTCGTACAATTCACTTGAAATAACATACTAGCGATTTTCATATTGTATTTTTACCCGGGAGCCACGTACGGACCCACAACGCGACGAAAGGATGCTACCTATATAAATAAATATATTCAAGTAATTCTTTGCGATCGGGTTTTTATTGAAAAAAACGGTGTACAGTGTCGAGAACCCTCAAGAAATTCGGACAACGCAGTTCAATAATATTTTATTAATATTATGTTTTTATAATTGATAAGCTATCACTCGTCACAATAAAACATTCATCGTGCATCCGCCTTCGCTACCGCGGAACGGCGCGACGCTCTCAGCTGCCCAAACGAAGTCGCGCGGGCGTCGGCCGCTAGGTGTAGTCGTTGAAGTCGTCGATGGCGACGCGGCGCTGCGCGTGCGCCGAGTGCGGCGAAGCGTGGTACGGCGGCGGCGCGCGAGCGGCTTGAGCCCGACGCTCGGCCTCCACG